GGGGGGTGGGAGGAAGAAGAAGAAAAAAAAAAAAAGTATCAAGAATGGTGTACGGTATGTCGCTCGGGTCCACACATATGCGTAGGCTAAATAGCTGTATACGCATGTCCACGCGGTATGCATCGCCCAGAAGATAGCGTCGTCGTTTGAGCGTCACTGAGGATGGACGGAGAACACCAGCTATATACCCATATACGAGAGCGAAAGAGAAGGAGAGAGGCTCTCGGTTCCGGTGAATGGTCGCCGTGGGTGGGCCGCCGCTCCGGGTTCTCCGTGTGCGCCAGCGAATATAAGCAGCGGTGTGGGCCTGCGTGCCTCTCCGACTCGCTCGCTCTCTTTCTCTCCGGGCCCCGCACTCGCGTGTACAAATATACGTATACATACCGATACCCGCGCGGCAGCAGCAGCGGTTCACTAGGTACACACACACACACACACACCCGCGTGTGTACACCTCCACGAAGAGAGAGAGAGAGAGAGAGAACGCGCCAAGAGATGATCGCAGAACCGTGACACAGTGCGCCGCGGCCGATGGAACGCAAACACCGTAAAGCCGTTGGTGAATGACCGGCGGGGCTCAATCGTTCGCTCGACGATCGAGCTGCTGCCGCGGTACACATATACATATATATATATATAAATATTATGCTCGTGGTCCGCAAAAAGGGCTTTTTTTTTTCTCAAGGAGAAAAACCCAAAAAAAACAACGAGGGCCGTGTTCAAGTAGTGCGCAAGAGGAACAATAAACCAACAACGCTGGTTGGTTGGTATATTGTCGTATAGTCAACAGCTGAGCGTGCAGTGTTCATTGCCCCGATGCCATCACGTTTGGTTCTGTGTTGCACCACCTATACCTACATATACTATAATATATATACAATGTACGTTTAAAGGAGAGCGACGTGTTGAAATTCCGATACATTGAATACTACGTAGTTCTGGAATAGGTACAATATATCATGTATATTGTATACTGAACGCATTTCACCGAATCTGACATCAAGAGTCGGCCGAAGAGGGAGGCGCTCACCTTGGCTTTCGAATTTTCCGTTTCGGACCGCATACCCGTATAATATATTATATTGTACCTGACCGGCGTCGTCGTCGGCCGCCTCCCCTGAAAACAGCCGGCGCGCCCCTTGTGTGCACCGATGGTGAGAGATCGGAGCCGACGCTATTGACTCTCGGTCTGAGAAAACGCTCCTTCTTGGAAAAAACAGCATCGTATATATGGCCGCCTTTGCAAGCTCCCCTCCTCCCCCCTGCGGACTATAACAGTTTCCTAATATAATATAATAGACGCGTGGTGATGCACATGACTTGTTTCTACCCCTTGGGCGTACAACCTACGTTACATTGTACGTATATATATATATATGTGTGGGGTATATACGAGTGACATTGACTCTCGGTGCACCGCCCGCGTGTGCGCGCAGTGGTTTTCCCATTATACTTGCCGATTTTTCCTCTTTCTTCTTCTCCGATGCTCCTCCTCCTCCTTTGACTGCCGGATGCTCTTATATTACTTGATACTCGGTAAAATCGTTAAATCAACGCCGGCTGCAGGGGACCGGCGCCTATATTCTCAACGTATACGCACGCACATTAGGTTATACTGTGCGTGGAAGTGGGTGGGTTACCTTTACTGATCAACCAACCAAAGTCTTTTCATTTTTCCACGTTTGCCGCCTGTCCCTCTATATATATACACCATGTGTCCCCCCCCCATTATATGATATGCCGGACACGATGCTGCATATAGCAGCGCACGTCCGCGATGCGGCGCGCATATATGGTCCGCTGCAGACCAGTAGCCGGAGGATGAACGGCATATACGAGGAGGAAGATGAGGTCGACGATTCTTTTTTCCTTTTTCCTTTTTTTTTTTTTTTTTTTTTTTTTTTTTTTTTTTTTTTTTTTTTTNGAGAGAGAGAGAGAGAGAGAGAGAGAGAGAGAGAGAGAGAGAGAGAGAGAGAGAGAGAGAGAGAGAGAGAGAGAGAGAGAGAGAGAGAGAGAGAGAGAGAGAGAGAGAGAGAGAGAGAGAGAGAGAGAGAGAGAGAGAGAGAGAGAGAGAGAGAGAGAGAGAGAGAGAGAGAGAGAGAGAGAGAGAGAGAGAGAGAGAGAGAGAGAGAGAGAGAGAGAGAGAGAGAGAGAGAGAGAGAGAGAGAGAGAGAGAGAGAGAGAGAGAGAGAGAGAGAGAGAGAGAGAGAGAGAGAGAGAGAGAGAGAGAGAGAGAGAGAGAGAGAGAGAGAGAGAGAGAGAGAGAGAGAGAGAGAGAGAGAGAGAGAGAGAGAGAGAGAGAGAGAGAGAGAGAGAGAGAGAGAGAGAGAGAGAGAGAGAGAGAGAGAGAGAGAGAGAGAGAGAGAGAGAGAGAGAGAGAGAGAGAGAGAGAGAGAGAGAGAGAGAGAGAGAGAGAGAGAGAGAGAGAGAGAGAGAGAGAGAGAGAGAGAGAGAGAGAGAGAGAGAGAGAGAGAGAGAGAGAGAGAGAGAGAGAGAGAGAGAGAGAGAGAGAGAGAGAGAGAGAGAAAGGGAGCCGCAAGCTCCGTCTGATGAGCTCCGGAAGACTGTACAGCCTTGCTATTCTTGCGTCTTCAAGGGACCATCATCATCATCAGAGGGAGAGAAAGAAACAACGAAGGAAGGAAGGAAGCAAGGAGATGATGATGCACGGCTGTACCTATGTGTGTGTGTGGTATAGTACCTATACCTACAAGCTAGGAGGGCGGGCTGCAAGAAGCGCAAGGCCGAGCGGGAAAATAATTATACTAAGGACGAGGAGAGACCGGCGACTGACTCGAGTCGACGGGCGTGTGGGTATACACATATATATATACATAAGGTAGTTTGTGTAGTATATGTATATACATGCACAAGGTTACCGATACAGTAAGTCGAGGAATTCCGCATCCATAGAGGAAAGACCGGGGTCGTTCGAGTACCTGCACCCTGATTTTACAACTCCCTCTCCCTGACGGAGCTTCCTCTGGCTCGATCATCATCCGACTGATGTTGGTACACGCGGTTGGTTGACGATTCGTGTAAAAAAAAAAAAGCTGAAACGGGGTCCGATTTTCGGGCCGAGCTTTTCGCTCGCGGCTCGCCGTATAGGACGATCCGAGTCATAAACATCCGGCAGCGGACGTTTTGCGCGTATATATCCGCAAACTGCAGTATATTATATAGTATAGTACACTTACTCGGCGTAAAAGCAGAAGAGAGAAGCAAGTCGAGGGAGGGAAAAATATGGAGAGCAAAAGTCGGGCGCCGGCCGTATCGGAGAGACTGCAGAGCGAGAGAGGGTTGAGAACCTTTGGTTGATGCGACTCGGGTGGTCTGCATGGTCTCCTTGGACCGCCGCGCAACGGACGGACGGCCAATGTGTACATATATATATACGTGCTACAGAAAAGGAGAGAGAGAGAGAGAGAAAAGACTCCTCCTTCTATCTTCGTTTCTTTCATTTTCTCTCTCTCTCTCTTTCCTCCTCCTTCGTTTCTTTGCCTCCCTCCTCTTCTCCTTACTTTCTTCTCTTTTGCCGGCAACGAGCGCACGCCTATATGGGTGTATATGTAATATATACACGATGACGTATACGACTCCTCGAGGAACAACCATATACAGCGGCCTTTGATTTGTCGCTCCCGCGCGCTTATTACATTTATTCAATTTCAAAGCAGAGCAACAAAAAAGCCGAGCGAGTATAAGAGAAAAGAGAGTGTAGGTGGAGGAGGAGGAGGAGGAAAAAAAAAAACAAAAAGGGAAATCGGAGATGCAGAACAGCAGCTGTAGCAACAACCGATTTGTAGATGTTACGTGTACAAACGATGACGATCGCGATCGTAAAAAAAAAAAAAAAAAAAAAAAAAAAACAACGCACGATTTAATAGAATTGCTGTACTATATGTATTGCTCGGAATGCGTGTGATCTTTTTTTTTTGTTCACATGTATACCTTGTAACCATAACACATATCGGTAACGTTCTCTGATGTGTTTTTGCAGAAGGTGGAAGGTTGGAGCAGGAGTTGAGGTATGCGACGGAAGCCCTAAGCCAGAGCCCGGCCTCGACGCACCAGCTCGTCATTCAGACGCCGAGGCACCACGGGGCCAACATACTGCACGTGACCGCCCTCAAGGAACACCTGGCTGCCCTCAAGGCCGCCACTCAGGTCACCGTCGATCTCTTTGACATGTGAGTGTTTATTGGCACGTTCTTTTCATCCCTTCTATACCCTCTCTTTTTTTTTTTTTTTTTTTTTTTTTTTCATTGATTTCTATTCTGGATATTTGTTTCTTTTTACTGCTCTCTCTGTGTCGTTGTCTGGCGGTCGTCCTTTCTTTTTCGAGCTGCATTCCCTTGTTTACACGTATACTCAATCGTTCCTTCAACATTTTTTTTGTACTTTCGTTTTACAGCACCTGGAAGCTAAAAGACATGTGCTACGCGCCCAGCATACCAAACTTTGATATTCATTACTTGGATCAGGTATTATTTTCTTGTTTTTTACTATTATTACATATTATATCATCCATTTAAATTCCAACGAGAACAAGCTTCATCAGATTTTTGTTGATTATTTCTTTTATTTTACTTTATTTTGTTTCTTTGTTTTTTTATAGATTTTTGACGAAATCATTCCATGTGCCATCATCACGCCCCTTGATTGCTTCTGGGAAGGTAGCAAGCTTCTTGGGCCCCTGTATCCTGTTCATTTACCGTAAGTTCCGCTTGAGTTTTTCGCATTCCTCGGTGTAGAATTGTTTTTTTTTTTTTTTTTTCTCCTGGAGGGAGGGGATTGTTTTATGACGTTTCATAAATTGTTATCAATGAATAATCATTGTTCAGGGGCTGGCAGTCTAATAAGCTCATACAATGGACCAACTTGAATCCCATGCANAAGTTCCGCTTGAGTTTTTCGCATTCCTCGGTGTAGAATTTTTTTTTTTTTTTTTTTTTCTCCTTTCTCGCTCATTTTGTTTTATGACGTTTCATAAATTGTTATCAATGAATAATCATTGTTCAGGGGCTGGCAGTCTAATAAGCTCATACAATGGACCAACTTGAATCCCATGCAAATGCTCGAGGACATGAAAAAGCTGGAGTACAGTTTTCCGTACAAAATTCTCGAGGATTACATGAAGCAAGCGGGCATCAGCAACGGGTATCAGAGCAAACCTTGTCTCGATCCACGGGACCCTGAGTGTCCCGACAGCGCGCCCAATAAAAAAACGAAGCAGGTAATGATTGCATTTTGACGAAATTTTAAAGAAGTAAATTCCAACGAACCGAATGAAAAACAATTTGATCGATTGCAGGTGCCTGACATCGGTGCCGAGCTAACGGGAGGCTGTTACGGGTTTGCTGCCAAGTACATGCACTGGCCCGAAGAATTGGTAGTTGGTGGTGGCAAGCACAACAAAAGCGGCCACCTGACCCGCGCCGCCGCCCTTCAAACCGTCATCCAACTGATGGGCGAGCGCGAGATCTACGATTACTATAGCAACACCTACAAGGTCCACCACATCGACTGGACCCAGGAGAAGGCCAGCCAAGTGCTCGACGCCTGGCAGCGCATGTTCAGCAAACAGCTCAAGAAGATCCAGAACTCGAGCGAGTCCGGGCCCTACAACGTCTACTCCTTCAGCACGCTCAACATGAACGACATTCTCAGCAAGTACAGCGAGCTCTCGCCCCTGAAGGTCGTCATTGGCTGCGGTATCATGGTGCTCTACGCCGGCGTGGTTCTCTGGCGCTGGAAGGACCGGGTGCGCTCGCAATCCGCCGTCGGTATGGCCGGAGTCGTGCTCGTTTGCGCCACCCTCGCCGCCAGTCTGGGTTTTTGCGCGCTTTTCGGCATCCCCTTCAACGCTGCCAGCACGCAGATCGTGCCCTTCCTTAGCCTCGGTCTCGGTGTTCACGACATCTTTCTGCTCACCCACACGTACGCCGAGCTCTCGGTGAAGGAAGTGCCGCGCGCCGAGCAGACCGGCGTAGTGCTCAAGCGGGCCGGGCTCTCGGTACTGCTCGCCGGTTTGTGCAACGTGGCTGCCTTCTTTGCCGCAGCCATCATACCTATCCCGGCTCTGCGGGTCTTCTCGCTGCAGGCTGGGGTGCTGCAGCTGTTCAATCTAGTGGCTATGCTGCTCGTCTTCCCGGCTATGATCAGTCTCGATCTTAGGCGCAGGCGATCCGGACGCTCGGACATTCTCTGCTGCTGTCTGCCGGAGCGAAACCCGCGGACGAGTCATAACCCGCGCCACCACCAGGTGAAACAGCAGCAGCAGCAGACCTGGCTCGAGGCGGGGGAGGACGAGAGTCTGACGGGTTGCGTGCAGGACGACTGCCTGAGCTTCTCGCTGACGCAGTTGGCAGCCAAGTACTACGCGCCGTTCATCACTCGGCCCTCGACGAAGGCGCTGGGCATGCTCTTGCTCGCTGGATTGTTGGGATGTAGCGTGTGGCAGGCCATGCGCGTCACGGACGGTCTCGATCTCACCGATCTCGTGCCCCTGCACTCGGACGAGCACGCCTTCCTCGAGGCCCAGTCGAAGCACTTTGGCTTCTACAACATGCACGCCGTGACGGGCCGAGACTTTGATTATCCAAACAACCAGCGGCTGATCTACGAGTACCACGACGCCTTCATGCGTATCAAGAACGTGATAAAAAATGACGACGGTGGTCTACCAGAGTTTTGGCTGAGCCTCTTCCGTGACTGGCTGAAGAGGCTGCAGGAAGCTTTCGACCACGATTATCGCGGCAACTGCATCACGACCGAGGGTTGGCACAAAAATGCCAGTGACGAGGGTATTTTGGCTTACAAGTTGCTCGTGCAGACCGGCCGCGTTGACGATCCAACGGAAAAGTCTCCGGTCGCGGTTAAGCGTCTCGTCGACTCTGACGGCATAATCAACCCAAAGGCCTTTTACAATTACCTGAGTGCCTGGGCGTCAAACGATGCTCTCGCGTACGGCGCTTCCCAGGGCAATTTGAGGCCCGAGCCCAAACAGTGGATCTACAGCAACGATCATGAGCTCAAGATCCCAAAGAGCTCGCCGCTCACCTACGCCCAGATGCCCTTCTACTTGCACAAGCTCACGGAAACGTCGGACATTAGCGAGCTTATAACCAGTGTGCGTCGTTTGTGCCGGCGTTTCGAGGAAAGGGGCTTGCCAAATTTTCCATCGGGCATACCCTTCATGTTCTGGGAGCAGTACATAGATCTGAGAAGCTGCCTGGGCTTGGCCCTACTGGCCGCGCTCGGTGCTAGTCTCTTTGTCGTCGGATTGTTGCTGCTGAACCTCTGGGCCGCCATTCTCGTGGGCACTTCGCTCGCGGGCGTCGTTCTCCAGCTGTTTGGTTTTATGGGACTGTGTGGTATTAAACTCAGTGCGGTCACGGCCGTTCTGCTGGTGGTCAGCGTCGGCATCGCTGTACACTTTACCGTCCACATATGCTTGGTAAGCGCTACAATTAGCTTCATGAAAGTGCAAAGAAAGTGCAAAGAAAGTGACCTTGTGCTATCTGTGATACAAAAATATGGGAGTTGCACGTACACGTTACGACTTTTGGTTTTTCTTTTTGATCTTTCAGAGTTTTATCACATGCGTGGGCAGCCGAGATCGGAGAGTGCGGCTCGCGATGGAGCACATGAGCGCGCCCGTGGTCCACGGGGCCCTCACCATTCTCCTGGCGGTACTCATGCTGGCGTTCTCCGAGTTTGAGTTCATCGTCCGGTACTTCTTCCTCGTGCTCATCTGCCTGGTGGGCATCGGTCTGCTCAACGGGCTCTTTTTCTTTCCGATTCTCCTGTCGTTGATCGGCCCATCGGCGGAGGTGATACCGATCGAGCACCCCGATCGAATATCGACGCCGACGCCGCCGACATCGCCGATCCTGCGGAGGTCCTCGAAACCACCGGCGCCACCGCGGCGCTCCTACAAAATTGAAAACGCGAGGCTGCACGCCGAGCCGTCGCTCACGACGATCACCGAGGAGCCAAACTCGTGGCACAGCCAACAAGAGTCCTGCATCATCGTGCAGCCAGAAGTCAAAGTTGAAACTTCCACCTGCGCCAATCAGGTATACTTCGTGCACACTACCCTACACACTGTTTTCGAGTTGATTAAGGTGTTTCCTTGCGTTAATTTTTTTCCATTTGAAACTCAAACTAACCTGTGCTTTTTTGTTTTTGTTTTGTTTGTGCTCACTTCATCGGACACTAACAGAACTGCAACGGATCAGACTCGAGTGGCTCTAGTCGCACCTCTCCAGTTCCAACAATGTCTCATATCACTACTAAAGTCACTGCCACGGTTACTGCCAAGGTCGAGGTTCACACTCCATTGACGAGTACGTATGGACATATATCGAGTTACCTATGTGGCTTTGTTTTGCACGAATCTGATGCTATACTGGCCTGTGTATACTGAAATATGGATATATTATATATATCCGAGTTCGAGACTAATATTTTAATCCATCGTTCGACTTGCTTGTTTCAGGAGGAAGGGATCGGAGTGACAACTGTCGACACGGAGGTGGCAGAAGAAGCTCGCGCTGCAACGTGTCGGTCAACACAGCCGAGTCTTCCGGCTCGAGTTCTGAGCCGGATTCTGATACAAACACGAACGGCAAGCGTTAGCAGGTGGAAAGGTGCGCGTCCGAATGACGACCGGCAGCTGCTACTTACTTATCGCGTGAACCCGGGAACACCCACAAGGCTGACTAGATTATAGTTAAAAAAAATGCTACGCGCCCAGCATACCAAACTTTGATATACATTACTTGGATCAGGTATTATTTTCTTGTTTTTTACTATTA